TTTATTATGGAAAATATAAAAAAAATAAAAGTAGTGACATAATGAGTTTCCATGTATTCATTACACAGCTTCAAAAGTTTTTAACACTTTGCCATTCTTTTTTTTTTTAACACTTTGCCATTCTGGTTTCTCTGTTCCCTCTATCCCCTGCTTTTAGTTGTTTTTACTGAACCATTTTTTAATTAATTAATTTATTTTTTTTTACTGAACCATTTTAAAAGCAAATCCTGTACATAATGTTATTTTATACACAAATAAATATGTGTATCTAACTGATCAATAAGGTATTTTTTTATTTTTATTTATTTTTATTTTTTAAAGATTTTATTTATTTATTCATGAGAGACACACAGAGAGAAAGAGAGGCAGAGACACAGGCAGAGAGAGAAGCAGGCTCCCTGCAGGGAGCCTGATGTGGGACTCGATCCTGGGTCTCCAGGATCACACTCTGGGCTGAAGGCAGTGCTAAACCGCTGAGCCACCCAGGCTGCCCAATAAGGTATTTTTTTTTAAATAATATAATTACTTACTATTATCCAACCTAACAAAGTGACAGTATTTCTTTAATACAATTTAATACCCAGTCAATCCTCAGTTTCTCTGGTGATCTCAAAGATACCTTTTAACAGTTGTGCATTTTGGTTATATCTCTTAAATCTGTTTTATTCTTCTCTCTTCCTTTCCTTTTCCCCCCCAGTCCATTGATTAAGTTGGAAAAACCTGGTTATATGTATTGTAGAATGTACATTTTAGAATTGCCTGATTTTTTTCTTTTGTATTAATTTGTTCCTCTAACTTCTGTGTTTCCTATAAACTATTAGAGCTTGAGTCTCAATTAGATTCAGGTTTTGTAATTAACTCCATAGGTGGCGCTCTGAACTTTTATTGAATTACAAACCAGCCATCTAACATCTCATCACTCTTTTTGTGATAGTGATTGATGGTAACTTGGGTGGTGGGAGACTGCTAATGCTAAGTCCCTATGAGGTTTTCCATGAATTTCTTCTTCTTCTTCTTTTTTTTTTTTTTTTAAAGATTGTATTTATTCATGATAGACACACAGAGAGAGAGACATAGGCCGAGGGAAAAGCAGGCTCCTCACAGGGATCCTGATGTGGGACTGGATCCTGGACCTCGGGATCACACCCTAAGCCGGAAGGGTGTGGCGCTCCACTGCTGAGCCACCCAGGGGTTCCTCCATGAGTGTCATCTAATTGTTGTGGCAGTCTTTGATGATCATTGCCCAGAACTATTTCATTAGGGGTTGAAAAATAGTGATTTTATTATCTTATTCCTTCTGTTTTATTAGCTGTAATTCTATTAGTAGAAACTTTCTTTCAGGAACCATTTGGTTACCCTGAAATAGAGTTTATATATGAAGGGCAAGATAAATTTATTTTTCTTATATTGATTTTCAGAGTAACGAGTTGTTTTTCTTGTATCAGTTTTCAGAGTAATAAGTTGATGATGTAATAACTTCTAGTAGTGACCAGTGATTTTGATCTGAAATATCACTATAAACTCATGGATTTTTATATATTTTTATATTTCTATTATATTAATTATTCATTTGATGCCCAGTTATCCTGTTTGAGGCCAGTGGGACTCTCTTTAGATTGGCTAATTTGTTTTTTTTTTTGTGATGATCCTATTTTTCTTTGCTAGCAAGGAAATTTAATTTTTTGGCACAGTTTTTCCAAGCTTATCTTATAAATTTCTACCCAAAGCAGGGAGAATCAGACCTTGCATAGTGAACCTTGATCCTTTTTAATGGGGAATGACATTTAGGGAGTAGAGTGTAGCTAGGTTCTAGGAATGTCTATTGCTAGAAGTTTGTCATTGATTCTAGGTCTTTTCAACAGACAGAGGTAGGAAATACATGAGTTCATGTTGTTAGTTCCAATTCAAATATAAGATTATAGGGTTTATGTACTTCTATCTCTTTTGTGTTGAGACTCTTAGTACCGGGGTCCCTGGGTGGTTCAGTGGTTGACCACCTGCCTTCAGCCCAGGGCATGATCCTGGAGTCCTGGGATTGAATCCCACATTGGGCTCCCTGGGGGAGCCTGCTTCTCCCTCTGCCTATGTCTCTGACTCTCTCTCTCTGTGTCTCTCATGAATAAATGAATAAAATATTTAAAAAAATAAAAAGAGGGGATCCCAGGGTGGCTCAGCAGTTTAGCACCTGCCTTCGGCCCAGAGCATGATCCCAGAGTTCTGGGATTGAGTCCCACGTTGGGCTCCCTGCATGGAGCCTGCTTGTCCCTCTGTCTGTGCCTCTGCCTTTTTCTCTCTCTGTGTCTCTCATGAATAAATAAATAAGATCTTAAAAAAAAATTAAAAAATTATCTTTCTTAATGGAGAATGCTGTTCCATTATGTTGACATATCAGCCTGTACATTTCCTTGCTTTTAGTTTTATTACAGTTGTTACCTACAGTATTTGGCTCAGCTATAAAATTTGTTCATACAAGGTGTTTCTTCTTCAAACCCTAGTACTAAACTCAAAATAATTAAAAAATAGTATCAATTCATAGGCATAAAATTACTACTCTTGTTTCATATTGTGGAATGTCTTAAGAGTAAAGTTACCAGTTTACTTTTCCCTCTTCTGTTAAATTTTGCCATTTTATGGTATGATATGACACAAATTTCTGGAGTCATAGTGTACAAATTCCAATTCCGGCTTTGCTGTGTGACTTTGAGCACAATAGTTAACCTCTCCCTACCTTAGTTCCTCATCTGGATTGCTTTGAGATAAATGAGTGACAAATGCCTAGCACATAGTAAGGCCTCAATAAATGTAGGCTGTTGTCTTAAAGGTATTTTTATTGAGGGTTGTTTTAATGTCATATTTCTTTAATGATTAAAGAGGCTGTTTTTCCACTTTTTAAAGTTTTTAGTTTCATGTGAGCTATCAAATATCTCCTTTTTGTTTAAACTAGTTTATTTTTTATTCTTTTAAGTAGGCTCCATACCCAACATGGGGTTTGAATTCCCGACCCTGAGATCAGTAGTTGCATGCTCTACTGATTAAGCCAGTCAGGGTGTCCTGTCTCCTTTTCTTAAGACAGAAGTTTTACGTCACAAACTAGTTGACCTACCAGCACTAAAAGCACAACTAATTAAAGATTGATGTTAGACGTCACCAAAATTAAAACTTCTGTACTTTAAAGTACACTATCAAGAAAGTGAAAAGACAACCCATACAGTGAGAGAGCATGTGTGAACATCATATTTCTGACCAGGGACTTGTAGCCAGAATATATAAAGAACTCTAAAAGTAATAAAAAGAATCAGATTTTTATTTTATTTTATTTTATTTTATTTTATTTTATTTTATTTTATTTTATTTTATTTTATTTCATTTTATTTTTTAAAGGAAAGGAGAACTTTCCTTTTTTTAAATTTTTATTTATTTATTTATGATAGTCATAGAGAGAGAGGCAGAGACACAGGCAGAGGGAGAAGCAGGCTCCATGCACTGGGAGCCCGATGTGGGATTCGATCTCGGGTCTCCAGGATCGCGCTCTGGGCCAAAGGCAGGCGCTAAACCGCTGCGCCACCCAAGGATCCCCAAGAATCAGATTTTTAAATGGGCAAAGGATTTGAGTGGACATTTTCCCAAAGATGATATACAAATGGATAATAAGTACGTGAAAAGATGCTCAGCAGCATCATTAGGGAAATACAAATCAAAATCGTAATGAAACACTACTTTATACCCAATAGAATGGCTATAATCAAAACAAATGGACAATAAGTATTAGGATGTGGAGAAGTTGGAAACTTCATATATTGCCGGTGGGATTGTAAAATGATGTAGGTATTTGGAGAACAGTTTGGCAGTTCCTGAAAATGTTAAAGCATGGAGTTGCTATGGGACCTAGCAAGTCCACTGCTAGACATAAGAGTAATGGAAACAAACGTTCATGGAGAAACTTGCACATGAATGTACATAGCAGCATTATTCATTAAGGCCCAAAAAAACTAGAAATAACTCAAATGTCCATCAACTGATAAACAAAATATAGTCTTTCCATACAGGGGACTACTTTTTGGCAATAAAAAAGATTCTACAACATGAATGAATCTGGAAAATGTTATGCTGAGTTGAAAGATGCAGTCACAGAAGACCCTATGTTGCATGATTGCATTTATATGAAATAACCAGAATAGGCAAATTTATAGATCCAGAAAGTAGATGAGTGGTTGTTTAGGGCTGGGGCAAGGAGGGGGAGATAATGAGTAGTGACTGCTGATGGGTACAGGGTTTCTTTTGGGGGTAATGAAAATGTTTTATTTTTTATTTTTTTTTAAGATTTTTAAAATTTATTTAATCATGAGAGACACACAGAAAGAGGCAGAGACACAGGCAGAGGGAGAAGCAGGCCCCATGCAGGGAGCCGGATGCGGGACTGGATCCCAGGTCTCCAGGATCATGCCCTGGGCCAAAGGCGGTGCTAAACCGCTGAGCCACCCAGGCTGCCCAATGAAAATGTTTTAAAATGAGATTGCAGTATTGGTTGCACAACTCCGAATATACTAAAGACTAATGTATTCTTTAAATGGGTGAACTTTATGGTATGTAAATCATACATCATTAATGGTGTTGAAAGGAAAAGGGAAGGAACCAATCAATTTATAGGTCTGCTTCTCTTCCTGTCCATTCATTTTTGCCCAAATTATTGGTTAGGAGTAAGATATATGTCCTGTGGGGATTCCTGCTGTGGTAAAAAACTGCGTGCTTCAACTTAATTGATGTTTCATTTTGGCGTGATGGCTGATAATTAAAGTCTTGAGTTTTCTGGGTACACGGCCCTAATGTAATTTTTACCATGTTTCATTCCCCTTTAGATTGTCCTTTGTTCATAAACTTAGGATAATTCTTGATTTACGACCTCAGAAGGTTGTTATAAAGTTCAAATGAAAGTGAGATAGCACTTTGAAAGCTGTATACTCCTAAATATTTCTGAAGTTCTCTTTCTTTTCTTTCCATAGGAGTAAAACACAAATCTTTTCTAACAGTTGAAGACTGTTTTGAGTTGGGCAAAGTGGCCTATACAGAAGCAGATTATTACCATACAGAACTGTGGATGGAACAAGCACTAAGGCAGCTGGATGATGGCGAGGTCTCTACCATTGATAAAGTCTCTGTTCTAGATTATTTGAGTTATGCGGTATACCAGCAGGGAGACCTGGATAAGGCACTTTTGCTCACAAAGAAGCTTCTTGAACTTGGTATGTTAATTTGGTCTGATTCAAGATTTTGTGCATATATAATTCTGATATATGTCTGTGTTTTGTCTTCTACAATGATATATATATATATATATATATAATTCTGATATATGTAATTCTGATATATGTCTGTGTTTTGTCTTCTACAATGATAAATATATATATATATATAATTCTGATATATGTGTAATTCTGATAAGTAATTCATCATATAGCTTTGGTACTTTTTTTTCTTTTTCAAGTCTTTATTTAAATTCTAGTTAGTCAACACAGTGCAATATTAGCTTCAGGTGTACACTTTAGTGGTTCATTACCTACACACAACACCCAGTGCTCACCACAAGAGCCCTCCTCAGTTCCCATCACCTAACTCATCCTCTACCCACCTTGCCTTCAGTAACCATCAGTTTGTTCTCTATAGTTAAGAGTCTGTTTCTTGGTTTGCCTCTTTTTTTTCTCCTCTATGTTCATTTGTTTTCTTTCTTAAATTCTTAAATGAGTAAAATCATATGGCACTTGTCTTTCTCCGACCGACTTACTTCACTTAGTATCATACTCTCTGATAGCTCCATATGTGTCATTACAAATGGTAAAACTTCATTCTTTTTTATGGCTAAGTATTATCCGTTTGGTAGTTTTTGTTATAAGTCAAGAGTCTTAGACGAATTTTATCTTCTATAAATGAATTTATATGAATTTATGAAATGAATTTATAGAATTTTATCTTCTATATCTTCTTTCATTTTTCTCAGCTAATGGTGCTATGACAATGGCTATGTTTTTCTGCTGTGTACCTTTCAGGAACTTCAAAATTGGACCTAACCTAGCTAATTTAGTCAAAAATGTTTACTTACCATGTTGTCATATTAAATATTAACCAGTTTCCTTTGAAGAATTTTTTTGTTTTATTGCATTTCATATTTAAAAATAGTGATTTGAAATAGACTGAAAATATATTTGGTTGTCATATTTGAATGTTAGATAATGTGATATCCTATGAGGATTTTATCACTAGTATTTTGAACTCATTTCTCTAAGTATGAACCAGGGACGGTGTGCATCAGAATTACTTGGATACATATTAGAAATGAAAAATTCCCTGATCTCCACCCAAGACCTACTAAGTCAGAATCTCTGGAGGTAGAGTTGTATGCTAATAAGTTCAGGTGGCCTTTGGTATATAATGAAGCTTTAAAACTTTTTAAAAATTAATTATTTTCTGAACACAGGTTAATATGTGTATGTCAGAAGAGTCAAACCATTTAAAAGGATTGGTCATCTGAAAATGAACTTCTGACACGTTATTTCTTGGTCAGGTGAATTAATAAATTAAGATATTAGTTTATCCTTTTTTCAGTATTTTTTAGAGATTTTCTTTCCCCTTCTGACTTAGAGTCATTATAGGAAATTTTTAAAAATAGAAAAAGATATAGAAGAGTCATCCATAAGCCAGTCATTGAAAGATACTGACAAATTTTGTTTCCTTGTAGTCTATACTGCCTTCCCTGTGCATATACACTTCTTTCTTTCTTTAACAAAATTAAGATCATACTGTATATCTCAACATACATTATATTGTGAGGAGTTTCTCAAACACAATGTTTTACAAATCTAATGCTAGATTTCCTAAACAGTTAATCTCACAAGTGAAGTTTCTATGTATTGTTCTGCCTTTTTTATTTGGGTGGGTGGGTGGGTGGTGGTGGTGGTTTGGGTTTTTTTTTTTTTTCTCCTGGATGGGTGGAGTAGTCCTCTTTTCCCCTGCTAAAAGATAGTTTTAAATGATGACTAGCTATTCAGAAGCAGTTAGTGGATTCTGGTTATTTGAAAATTATATCTTTAAGTTTCTCTTTTTCCATCTCACTTAGAATTTTGGGACTGAAATTCACTCAGCCCTCTGAAGTAGGCTGTGTTCTGTATTTATAGTGTATCTGTGGTGAATGTTGCTTTTGAACTGTACGCTGTCTTCCCCATGATGATTACATTTCAGTCTCAGAAAAATCTTTTCCATGGCTTAAAATAAGTAAAATGAGTAATATTTTAGAATTTATTTGGCATGAAATTGATCATAATTTATTTGGCTGATTAGTAAGTTCCAAAGTAGAGTATTTGCTACTTTGAAATAAATGGCTGCTTCCTTCTCCAGAACTCTTTTTGTATATGGTGACTGTATGTGATTTACTTGGGGCAGTACTGGTTTTTACATACTGTGTCAGTATGATAATTTTTTAAAAGATTTTATTTATTTATTTTAGAGTGAGAGGGCGAGCATGCACAAGTAATGGGCTTTGGAGGGTAGGAAGGAAAGAATCTCAAGCAGACTCTGTGCTGAAATGTGGTGTCAGAGGTAGGGCTCATCCCATGGCCCCAAATCAAGCCCAAACTGCAACAAGGAGTTGGTTGCTTAATTGACTGAGCCACTCAGGCACCTCTAGCTAAAATTTTTATTAGTGCCTCCTTTCACTCTCATAAGTATCTCAGTTTGGAAGGTAAATTATGTGGTCCTCTATTTTTATATTACTATATTCTGATGCTTGAATGACTAAACTTTTTTTTTTTTTTAATATTTTTTATTTATTTATTTTTATTTATTTATGACAATCACACAGATAGAGAGAGAGAGGCAGAGACACAGGCAGAGGGAGAAGCAGGCTCCATGCACCGGGAGCCTGACGTGGGATTCGATCCCGGGTCTCCAGGATCGCGCCCTGGGCCAAAGGCAGGCGCTAAACCGCTGCGCCACCCAGGGATCCCTTGAATGACTAAACTTAACCATGGACATGTTTTCTTCCTTAATAGATCCTGAACACCAGAGAGCTAATGGTAATTTAAAATATTTTGAATATATAATGGCTAAAGAAAAAGATGCTAACAAATCTGCTTCAGATGACCAATCTGATCAGAAAACCACACTGAAGAAAAAAGGGGCTGCTGTGGATTACCTGCCAGAGAGACAGAAGTACGAAATGCTGTGCCGTGGGGAGGGTATCAAAATGGTAAAGTGGAAAAGCCAATTGTGTGTGTGTATGAATGTGTGTGTTTGTACATAGTTCTAGAGAGAATCAGAGTTCTTTTATATTTAAGCATGTGTGATTAAAAATTAGAATTAACTGCTTAAAATATTACAGTATGCTAAATCACCTTATTGTGGATGTCGCACTTAATATGCTCCGACTATTCATAAAATAATCTTACAATAAAACTTTGAATCATTATGCCATTTTGTAAATTTTTTGTAATATAACTCTTTGCATAGGCCAAAAGAAGCTTATTTTTATAAGATGGAGGATTAGATAATTAAGAGGAGTGATAAGGTGGTTTTTAAAAATATTTTAATGCAAAAGAGATTTCCACAGTCTTAAGCAGAAACAATATACTGTCTTAAACCATCCTATAAAACAAAGAACACATCTTTTTTTTTTTTTTTTTTTTTTTTTATTTATTTATGACAGTCACAGAGAGAGAAGGAGAGAGAGGCAGAGACACAGGCAGATGGAGAAGCAGGCTCCATGCACCGGGAGCCCGATGTGGGATTCGATCCTGGGTCTCCAGGATCGCGCCCTGGGCCAAAGGCAGGCGCCAAACCGCTGCGCCACCGAGGGATCCCACAAAGAACACATCTATACAATAATCTCTTACGGTTTTGCTCCTAGTTGACCTTGATAGGATTGCTTAGTGAAATGTATTAGTCTATTTAGGAAATACTTAAAATGCAGAAAGTGTTTCAGCAGATTTTGGCTTTCACATTTATTTTATTTTATTTATTTATTAATTATTATTTTTAAAGATTTTATTTATTCATGAGAATACACAGAGAGGAGAGACAGAGAGAGAGAGGCAGAGACACAGGCAGAGGGAGAAGCAGGCTCCATTCAGGGAGCCTGATGTGAGACTCGATCCCAGGTCTCCAGGATTATGCCCTGGGCTGAAGGCAGCGCTAAACCGCTGAGCCACCCAGGCTACCCCAGATATTTTTTTATTGCCCTTAATAACTCTTAAAGACAAGATCAAAATAGAACCATAGGTATAAAACAGAAGTCTGCTTAATTTGGCAGTTTGTAGATATGACATAACACATCAACACTGCCCAGAATCAAAAGATCATCTTTATTCTCAGAATAAATTCACCTCATTATTGTATCAAACACTTACAATAAATAAATCTTTAGATTTGACTCTAGAGGTAAAGGAGAATAAGCATGCATCATTATTTGTCTTAGTATGTTAGCTAATAATTAAAAAAAAACTAATATTATTCCTACTTCATAGATGATATACTTGTTTAATCAAGTGAAGAATTACCAATGGATAACTTATTTAGTTAATATAGAAAGCAAGGAACATTTATTTGTTTTGTTGATCACTCTATTTTTGATACCCATCAAAAAAAACACTTGCCTTCTTTAATAACTTTCTTTTTTTCAAAATTAGTCATTTTCATCTTTGCTTTTTAAAACTAAATTTATTTATGGTGCAAGCATATAACTGGGAGATATTTAGGAAAACCAGGTTTTCTTGGTGAGGTTTTGTTTTATTTTTCCTTTTAGAAACTTTTTTTTCTGGAGGCTTCCCAGTTACTTTGTGAACTTTGGAGCAGTACAGGTCATTCATTTCATATTTTCATAAATATTTCATTATTTCTTTCATATTTAAACACCTGAGACATGGGTTAAAAGTGAAACTCCTACCTTTTTTCTTATTTAAGGTCTAGCCTCTCTTCCAGAAAATAATCATTAATTAAACTTACAATCCTGAACATCCTAGATGATGCAAAATACTTGCAGAGTACTGTCTTTTGTATATTCTTTCATGATTATTGTTTCTTTTCTGCATAACAGCAAACATTAAAACTATTATTATTCTAATAGGTTTATCATTTTCTTAACTATGTTTAGACTCCCCGGAGACAGAAAAAACTCTTTTGTCGTTACCATGATGGAAACCGGAATCCGAAATTCATTCTGGCTCCAGCCAAACAGGAGGATGAGTGGGACAAGCCTCGTATTATTCGCTTCCATGATATTATTTCTGATGCAGAAATTGAAATTGTCAAAGATCTAGCAAAACCAAGGGTAAATAATTTTTTCTTTTTTTCTCTCCGTTTACTCTGTGTATCAGTTTTGCCTTTGCAAGATTACAAAAATGGTAATTGATATGGCAATAACTCCACAGATAGTTGTAGATATTGTTGTCACAACATAATGGAGTTGTTTTTTGTTTTTTTTTCATAATGGACTTGTTAATAAGCTCTGTTTATACCAGTTCTTCCTCAGTTTGCTGTTAATACAAATAATACCCTGCAGCTGGGTATTAGGCACTTAATTCTGAAAGTCATAGATGAGATTTTTATTCACACTGATTTTATTCACAGATGTTTCCATATCTTTCTAAAAAAGTTTTAGATGTATTTTTGAACCTTTAGTCTCATAGCCTAATCAAAGACTAACTTTCCTATATCTTCTATATTTTTATCTGAAAAAATTCTTTTTTTTTTATCTGAAAGAATTCTTGAAGTATTTTTATTCCCCTTTGGGCACATTGTTACTGGAAGATATAATTGGGCACAAGCATCATGCTAATTTGAAATAAGGACATCATAGTTTTCTGAATTTAACTCACATCATTTATCTTAAGGAAAACAAAAAATTTTTTTAAATTTAAATTCAGTTTAACATACAGTGTATTACTAATTTCAGAGATAGAATTTAGTGATTTATTAAGGGAAACAATGTAAACACAAACCCATAAACTTAGTGTTTAGCATAGAAATTCTTCTTTTAAGAGAATATGAGAAAGACTATGCTTTATACTCTTGCCTTTTCCCCCATCACCTTGTTCTTTTTTTTTTTTTCCGTCACCTTGTTCTTAAAACCTATTTGATCTCATTGATAGTAAAATACAAACTGCCATCACTTTCATAAAGAGATTGTTAAATAAACACCAGGCATATTTGTGCTCTTACCAGGCATATATTGCTCAAAATATTGGCAAGTTTTTTCTGTAAAGGAGCAGGTAATAAATATATTTTAGGTTTTGCTGACCATACCATCTATCACAAGTATTCAAGTCTGCCATCATGTGTAAAAGCAGCTATAGTAAATACATAAATGAATGTGGCTATATTTTAATAAAACTTCCAAAAATAGGTGGCAGGCTGTATTTAGCCCATGGGCCATAGTTTGCTGATCCTTACTGTAAAGGTTTAAGTATCTGGATATCTGTACTCAAAATAAATTTAAGGTCAGAATTTTTAAGTTTTACTATTACAAATTAGTACTTCTATCTTTCTTCCTTTCTTTTTCTTTTTTACATTTTAAGTGGAAAATACTGTTCTAATATGCATAGGTGCTGTCCAAGGGAATTCTTTTAAATATTTCAAACCGAGCACTACTTCTGTTGCATCATATTTTGTCAGTATCTTTTCAGTTTCTATTTTAGATCATTCTTTGTGGTTTGTAAACCCAGTAAACCAAAATATCTTTGTAGAATTTTTATTAAGAATTCATTTCAGTTTAGAGGTCGAGTCTTATATCTCTGGATTTGGAGGCCTCAGTCTTCAAAGGGGATGCTCAGTTGGATAATTTTAATCAAAAATTTCAATGGCAATAAAAATTTTATATTCTTTTGTTAATCTGAGGATCATTTTTTTTTAGTTTAAAGTCATCTTGGTTGTCCTCCTTTCTTACTGTTTTTGTACATTTATGAGTTCTTTTTATCTGCCTTTCTGCTAAGTCCAAGATTATTTCACTGTATATGTGAAATATATGAGCAGATATGTTGAAGGAAGAAAAGATGGTCCTTGAAACAAATTTTGAACATTAATGTTTGTAAACAGTTCCATCACTAAAAACAAATTAAAATCAAAAGATTGACATAGATCATTAACTACAAATAGCCTTTTTTTTTTTTTTAAGATTATTTATTCATAAGAGACAGAGAGAGGCAAAGACACAAGGCAGAGGGAGAAGCAGGCTCCATGCTGGGAGCCTGATGTGGGACTCGATCCCGGGACTCCAGGATCATACCCTGGGCCGAAGGCAGGCACCAAACTGCTGAGCCACCCACGGATCCCACAAATAGCCATTCTTATAATGATAAATTAGACTTCAAATTTTAGAAATTTCTCTTTCCTCACAGTCCTATTCTCCAATCGCTGAAAGAAATTTAGTTTTTAATGTCTTTTGTGTGTATACTCTCCATTCATGCAAAGCAAAAAAAACAAAAATATACAAAAAGCTAAAGAGCCAGCTGTCTTTCAAGGCTCAGCACAAGGTGACTGGAAGTCTATGGAGTTATTTTTTTCTTTTCATCCTCCTTTGTAAAAATCCCAGAATTCTAACTGGTTGGATAAATGTGATTCTTTTTTTTTTTTTTTTTTTTTTTTGTTTTGTAATGCAACTATTTTGATGGTTGGCTTCACAGCTGAGGCGAGCCACCATTTCAAACCCAATAACAGGAGACTTGGAGACGGTACATTACAGAATTAGCAAAAGGTAAGAGATGTGTATGTTGCATATTTTGCCCTCTAATGAGTGTTTTGTACATCCTACAGGAATATTCATTTAAGGGAAGTAGGTCATTTTCAGTCTCCAGCTCAAGTCACCGCCTATTTATATACGCATGGATAAACTGCTTTGTGTTTCACAGGTCTTTCCCTTCAACTAGAAGTTCTTTTTTTAATCTTTAATTCGTCTGTTATTTTTAGGGAATTAATATGCTTTGCATCTCTCTTCAGGTCAGGAATCAAATCTCCAGGAAATGGCTTGATACTTGTTTTCTTTTTTCCTTTTTCTTGCAAAAGGGGAAAAAAAGAAAAAGAAGCAGCTTGATTAATATCGGAGTAGTCTTTGTTTATATAGTTTTCTCACATTCACACATCCTGCAGTGAATTCACATCATTCTTCATGGTGATTATATTGGCCTTTGTTCATTCATCTTGTGAAATACCATTGTCATTTTGGAGTAATCTGAATTCCTCCTCTTGGAGTTATTTTAAAAAACTTGCTGACTTGAAAGTTGGCAATGGAAAGAACAGAGTTATGCTTCTGATCTCAGTCTTCCAACTACTAGTACTCATGAACTTACTTGTTTTACTTTGCCAGAGAGACTTAACAGTTTTACCTCAGTGAGAGTTTTAAAAAATAAATTTAGAGAGACTATTAACTATACTTTTGTCAAAAATACTTAAAGGACATTAAACTTCTAGGTCTGAGAAAGCTCCTGTGAAACCCAGTGCTATAAATCATTTACATACAGCTTTAAATCATTTTTTTTTAAAAAAAAAGTGAAAGGACAATAAATCTACAACAAAAATATGTCAACCCATTTTCTCTTGATTTGGAAGTGGCTTTTCTTATTGCCACCTGTCTAAATGTTTTTGCTGATTTGAAACCATTACCTACCATCCAGACCAATCTGAACCCTTCCGATCACCTGTGGCTTGGCAAAACCAAATAAAACCAACCAAACAAAAGCCCAAAATTGCCTGCTACGTGAGTAAGTCCTTGTCCTTTCTCTTTTTTTGTAGCTGAGCCGAGCTACAGTACATGACCCTGAGACTGGAAAATTGACCACAGCACAGTACAGAGTATCTAAGAGGTAAGGGAGTAATGGAGAGAATTTTAGTCCTATTTGAACCATTTTCTTTCTTGAGAATCTAATTTTCATAAAACCCATGGTGCGGTTTCTAAGACCAAGACTTTAGGCATGACAATCATTCCTGAATTTTCATGATAGACTAAGACGACTAACCCCAGACATGGTTATGGGGCAGTTAATAGAGATTTTCCAGAAGTAGCTTACTAGATTTCAGAATGCCTGCTGAAACTCCCCAGGCCCCATCTGAAACATGAAGTTGTGTTCCCATATTGAAGTAAGAGAAGTTCCCAAAGAACCTTCATAGAAACAAGGCCTAATTTGGCTTCTGTAGTAAAGCAAAGATTTAAAAATCTCAGGGTCACCAGAATAGCTAACTGTAGGTATTGGAAAGTACATGCCTTGAAGGATCCCATGACAAATCCTTAAGTCAAATGATTTCAAATTATTTGCTTTTAACAGTGTTTACAGAGAATGTACTTAAGTTATTAGCTGATAGATCACTTAAATAATTTTTAACAGTAGATTCCTGTATAACTCATGTATATAACTTAGAAGGAGCCCACAGAATAAGTGACATTATTCCAACAGGAACTCCTTTTCCATCTACTTATTTATGTAAAGGAAGTTTCTCAGCTCTCTTAGAAATAAGAATATTGAAAATAAAATAAGCTCCTTCTGTCTCATTAGAAATATCTTAACATATTTTCACTTTTTATATTGGATAATTGTTTAATCACATTATTTAGAATAATGTATACTAATAATTGTAATCTCATTCCAGAAGACATTATTTTTAACAATTATACCTTTAGTGTAATAGGAATTTATATTTTTATCAATTTATAAAATTTTGTTGTAGAGAAGTTTAATGTAATAAAAGACTTTTAGGCATATAAATATATTTCTGTAGGACAGGGCTTCTCAACCTCAGCACTATTGATGTTTTGGATCAGATAGTTCTTTGTTTGGGGTTGTCACAGCTTTGTATGATGTTTAGCAGCATCTCTGGCACTCACTTGATGCCAGTAACACCCTTCTTCCCAGTTGTGACAATCAGAATGTCTCCAAATATTGCCAGATGTCCCCTGGTAGGCAAAATTCCCACCACCACCCCCAGATTTAACCTCTTCACCCATGTTGAAAGCCACTACTCTAGGGTAAGAATGGAATGAAGATACAGTTCAAGGGGAAAAAAATGATACAAAATTTCCCAAGTACCAAAAAAATACTTCATTCATGTCATTGTGGTATTTAGATTCCACTGGATATATTAAAAAAAAAGATCATTTTTCAGTAATTACTATTTCAGTATGCCAGAATTAAATCCTTTGAAACTATTTGATGAAAAATTTTAGTTGTCAACTAAAAAAATGTGCAGAACCTAAGCACGTAGATTTTAGCAACTATTTTAGGAGTTAGAGGAACAAAAATTTTGAATATTAGTGCTATAAGTCATAGCAAAAGTACTATGAAGGCTGTACAGAATTCATTGTTTCCTTATTCTTTTTGGGCGAAGCTATATGTCCTCCTTATGGTAATAACCTTTAACATGGCCACAAACATATCATGGCTTTCTAACTGTGTGCCCCATGCTACCTGCCCCCTGTCCCCAATTAGAAGATATGAAGAAAATTTAACTTCTATCATTTGAGTTTGATTTCAGGGCGACCAAGGATTTGCAGAAATTAATTTGGATAATGTTTTGATACGTGATTTATAATGCTTCTGTGCATTGTAATTAACTCTAAATTTCAAGTTAAACTTCAGCTTACTTTCCATTCTATTACAGAATCCTATGTCTTAAAAAATTAACCTGTTATAGGTGGGGTAAAAGAAGAAAATTAACCCATTGCCTAACTTTTTTTTTTTTAAAGATTTTATTTATTTATTCATAGACACAGAGAGAGAGAGGCAGAGACACAGGCAGAGGGAGAAGCAGGCTCCGTGCAGGGAGCCCGATGTGGGACTCGATCCTGAGTCTCCAGAATCATACCCCAGACTGCAGGCAGCGCCAAACTGCTATGCCACCAGGGCTGCCCCATTACCTAACTTTTTAAAGAAAATAAGCCATTATATATTTTATCAAAGATTACTACATAGTTTTAGGCATTTTTACTGTCATGAGCCTTGTATCTAAATTTTCAGATTTGGATGCCTTTAGGAAATGCATAAAATTTCATGAACTTAGTTCTTTGGAAGTCATTTTTGGAAATTTTTTATATATACAATGGACCTTTTGAAGAAATATCCAGCCCACAGAGTCATTGGACTCTTACCAATAAGGCAAAATAAATTACACTTGGAAAGGTGATCTAAAAAAAAAAAAGGAAAGGTGATCTATGATCTTTTTTTTTCCCTTAAGAACTAAATATTTCTAAACATTTGAGCTTATTTTTAAAATACTCTAATTTTATATCTCTGAAAAGCAGTTTCATTGGATTCCTTTAGAAAAACACAACCATACTTTATTTCGTCTATGGCAATAGAAGACCTTAACAAGCAGCCATAGAAGCATTGGAAGACACACCAGAATAAATTTACTCGGTCTCAGCATAGTATGCAGTGTGTGTTTGTGTTCAAAACAACCTAGTAACAATGGAGTTCCACAGCACAGTGATACTCCTATTTACTCTTAAGGAAAATTGTTCAGCAAGTCTTTTAAAAATAAAATGCATATGTTAAGAGAGAGGCCTTAACTGTTAAAGAAGGAATTTGCTCCATAACATATCCTAAACCTTTTGTATTTTAACAAATAAAAAGTTTTTGCTATTTTGAGAATTTATTAGCTCTATCAAGACATTTTCTACCCATCACTGGGAATTGGAATTTTGAAGATTCCTACAAGTGAAATAAATGAGTGTTTTATGTTTCCTTCACACATTATAACTCTGAAAAAGGCATCTCAAATGTAAAATAGAAAAATTAATGTGTACTAATATTAGTTAATGTAGTTCCTTTTGCTGTGGGAACATCTGTATTTTGAATGGGTCAGAAGGGAATTTCAAATATCTGTATTTTGAGAAATTTCTAAGTTATTGCATCATCTTCCATGGAAGGAAAAATATGTTCCAGCATCCTAGCAAATAGAATTTTATTTGGGTAAAGTATGTGTGGAAATCTATTACTGTTTATTTATTGACTGTCTTTTAACTTTTGGTAAGTCCTTTACAGTATTTTTTTTTTTAAAAATTTACTACAGCTTGTTAATGGAGATGCTAATGATTTGGGCTGAGTCAGAGAAATGGAATTCTGGTTTTAGAAAGGTAAACATTGAGTTACATGCTCTAAAAAAAGACAGTTTAGTTATGTGAGCTCATAAAGTCCTGTTAAAGTAATATTAAGAGATATGCAAATAAACAATCTAGTGTGGTAGAAAAAGCTTCTTTGATTCTGGGGAGTTATTTTTGGAAGTGGTTTTCATTTTCCTACTCTGATACACATTTTCCTATAATATATTTCCTTATGCTTATTTAATTTACTCATGTAAATAAGGAGCAAATATATAAAAGCATATTAATATTTTACAGAACAGGGGCAAATACAAATATCTGTGAATTTCAGATATTTTTTTAAATTGGAGTCACTTTTAACAACATTGCCCTCTGTTAGGTTGAACAGTGGTTCTCAGATTGAGATTAACTGAATCGGACAGATCTATAGTGTCATTGTCTAATTGTCCCACTAAAAACCAGAGGACCAGGATGAATTTCCAGGCTAGATGGTAACTCTTTTTTTGTTAACCATCAAGCACTTACAGAAGAAGACTTAGGGTCCAGAATTATTTTTTGCCCTTGCAAAAAAAAAAAAATCACAGTTTTTATATTAGCTAATTGTAAAATGTCAATTTTTACATGTGTTGGGTTAGAAGGAGAACCTAGTGCAAATTTTATCATTC